TTTAGCCAGATAGTAGCAGGATAGTATGTTGGCAATACTGGCAAATGTTGTCTCCTGCCTAGCCAGGTCATAAGAACAGGCCCCATTTGTGACTAGTGGGCCAGATTAAGGAAGAAACAATGAGGGTCCTATGATTATGCTATGAGTGACTTAGTCACTGTGACTATATATGTCCATAAATTTTGATATCTGAACAAAATTTTGATATCTGTCCCAAAGTCATCCATCTTCCTTAAGTTTAGGACTCTGAGACCAATGAATATATTGTCATTCAAGGATTAAAAACAATGAAGACAAGTGTTATGGTCAAACAAACGAAAATATTCATGTCCGCAGGCTGCAACACGCAATGTTGACACATTATTCTGAAGTCGACTAACCTCGACTAAATGTCGAAATCGATGAAAAACGAGCCAAAAAAACAGTTATTGAGCTAATCAATCAAATAAATACTTGGCATAAGTTTGAAGGTCCATAGTCCAAATATTTGATGAGTTTCTTTAGCCCATTTATACCAACAAATTTTAAAAATTCCCTGTATTTAGATATTCGCCATATCGATCGCCACGCTGTTTGGCAAGAAATCGACATGTCAACTTGTCCCGGCCCGGAAGTGTCCTGTTTACTTGTTACACAGGATATTAATAAGTTAATGTGAAAATATGAAGATAAAAGTATCTTTTAAAAAATAAAACCTCTCAAACCTCGATTTGAAAGGCTTTTAAAAACGCTAATCCGTTCGGAACCTACAGATTCGAGGGGTGGTATTTAAGCTTGCGCAAGGCAAAGTTTGAAGACCCATATCTTCGCAATCACGCAATTAGTCAAAAATCGCCACGAGGAAGTTGAGGAGAATTCTTTTAAGAACAACATATATGAATTTCATGGCAAAAACCCCAAAAACCGCTTGCAGAAAAGCTCTGAAGTAACCCCATATTTTTGTTTACAAATTTCATGTGATGAAGCGTTTTACGCATTCTGATTGGCTTAGGGCAAAAATGTAAACAAAAGCGCTGATTGGTCGAGAACGAAATTCCCCCTTGTTATGGGAGGGAGTATCATTGTTAGTAGATTCTTTGAAGAAATATCTTAAGTGCATATTTCGTCGAAAGTTCTGATAGGACTTGTATACAATCTCCCTATTAGTTGGTTGTGGTGTGGGTATGAATTTAAGACCTTTAGATAAAATTTAAATGGTGGGTTGGTCTAGGGGTGTGTTGGATAAATTCACCACACTATCTTTGATACGTTTCATTTTAATTTCAGAGAGAATTCTACCTTTACTTTTAAATCGGTAATTATTATTATTCCTTTTAGTGTGCAAATATTTGCGCAATTTGGTTTTGGTTAGCTTGTTAGTTAGCGGGGCTTCATCTCGTTTTTCGTGTTTAGGTGATAGCTGGGGAGATGCATACGTGAGAGAAAATCCTCCAGGTTAGAACTAGTTACGTTAGTCAGGGTTGTGTTAATATTATTCCTCCGGTTAGTGGTGAAGGGGTTTGGGGTGGTAATATTATGGCTGGACATATTCCTAGTGACGGTTGAACCAACATGTTGTGACCTCCCTATAGCCGGGGAAACTAGAGGTGTTGGCTGTATTATGCGAGGGGATGAGGAAACAACCCTAGAATTGATTCTCCTTGTAAAGTTGGTATTAGAAGTGATTATTTTCGGGGTGCAGCTCATTAGTGGGGTTAATGTTTGGGTAGTTAAGATGGAATTATTACTGTTGCTATTAAGGTCCATAGAGCGAGATGGGATATTGATTGGGGTGTTGTTAAAGGAGTTAGTTTTAGTTTTTGTTGAAGTATTAGATGGAGATGTAAAAGAGCTGCTATGGGACACGTTATTATGGCGTTTATTATACGGTTTGAACCTACGGAGGGTTCTACCTTTGTTAGTTTTATTACTCATATTATTAGTGACCTGTATAATGTTAGAAGCCGTTAGTTCATCTGGAGCGTTACTATATATATACTGGTGTGAATATTCTATGTTGCTTAAAAGATTTGTTTTAGTCCTATTATGATTCTCAATTAGTATATCAAGAAGGGTATTAGATGTGTCAGTAAGGGCTTCATCCCATCGTTTGCGAAGGTCATGTGGTAATCTGACCCTGCATAGTAGTAATGTAAGGTTATAATTAGGGTTAGAGGGGCCCGTCCCGAAAAAAAAAATGTTTGGGGCTGGCCCATAACTTTGGTCTGTGTGGGCCGATTTCGCTGAAACTTGGCGGGTGTATAGTTCTAGTAGCGAACTTGCCTCATGCCAAGTTTGGTAAAGGAGGCGGAGTTATGACGTCACAAAGTCAAAAGTTCGGATTTTCAAAAAAAACATGTTGTGGCTACCCCCATAACTTTGTGGACCGTTTGAGACGGGACATAGCTCATTCGAAACTCAAGCTTGATTGTGAAAGTGGTTTGAAGAAAATCGGTTGAAAGGGGGCGGAGTTATGGTCAGATGAGTGAAAAGTTGACCCGAAAATTTCCAAAAAAAATTTATTTTTTCTTTTTTTTTTTTTTTTTTTTTTAAATGAAAGAGCTTTTAAAAACAAGCATTTGTGTCGAAAAAGCGTAGCGAAAAAGTGATTTTTCAAGGATTTAGAGCCGTTTGAAAATTTAAATTTTTTCCCATTTTTGGTAATTGTGTTGAAAACGTTTGGTAATAGGTAGTAGTAAAGATTCTAAGCAACTTTCATTACCATGTCATTGACGAAAAAAGGCTTTTTTCATGGAGAAATCGACGTTTTAAAAGAACGGATTCATACTCCAGTCTCAGTCCAGAATTCAGATTTCACACTCCAGTCCATAGTATGTATCTTGATTGCCAGATGACAAAAAAGACCGGATTCATGAACCTGGACTCATAAAATTTTGGACTGGAAAACGGAGTATGGATCCGTTTTCACAAAAAAATTGTATTTTCAGACCCTGTTCAAAATACGTTTCTCGATGCGCTGATCATTTCTGTCTAGGTCACAAATGACATTTTGAAAAAAAATTATACACCTGGAGTGGGCACTTCTGGAGAGTGTGGACTCTGTTCTTTAACTGTTCTTTAGACGATGTCGACTCAGGGAATCGAATGGAATAGAATCTGTGGACATCTACCCAGTTGATCCTTCGTTGTCCTGCTGGGCTTCTGTGCTGACGAGCCAGGGTGATTAGAATCTCGTCGTTGTTCGCGGTGGTGGTTGTTCTACACGTGGTGGTGGACATGGTGGAGGTGGGTTAGGAGGTGGGTTCTGAAGTGGTTGAATGGCCGGTGCTCGTTGCAGCCACCAGGGGTTTTCTCTTCCCGGTACGGTGCGATATCCTGCAAAGCGAAACCCGAGGAGCAACTTAAGGTCAGCAAATACTCTTTTTTCAACATTTGATATCTCTCGACCGGCATCATGTCTGATTACGCCAGAACGGGACAGTAATGCTCTTGCCGTTCGGAACAATCCTTCAGCATATAGGATGTACCTTCTCACTGGGACCTTGTTGTAATGGCAATTGACGCCGAATTGATGAGGATTAAACAACTGCCTTTCCAACACGTGGTCCACAGCATCAGAAGCGTTGTTCATTCTAACTCTTATTTCCAAGCGGATGCCACCGACTAGGTGATGATTAGTGGAAAGAACATTCATAATGGAATTTAGGGTGTCGAAAAGGGCTGAACCTTGGCGAGTGGTTATGGGAGAGGTAAGTGGGTCAGGGTGGCAGGCTCTCAGCAGATGAAATAATAGGCTATAAACCTTCATAGAGACTACTTCCTCTGGTTCATCCATGGAAATGGTGATGTTTCCTCCAAGAAGTCAGCGGCGGTTTAGGGTCAGGGGTGTCAGAATAGGGTATTGGTCGACGGTGACGCCTGGAGGGAAAGGAGCCGTGGCCTTTAACAGGTATATGAATGGCTCGCTGTGGGAAACAGAAATGTCGTACTCGTTCTCGGGATATCCGCTGTTTGTTGCTGCACAAAGGAGAAGGTCTCTGGGTAAAGGAGGTAGCTGGTTAAGTGGTTGTTTCATCCCGAAGTTGATAATTCGTATGAAAGCGACGCCTGCGTGTCGAAGGCCGGCGATGAAGGTGGGAGTCGGTATGGGTTTGGTATTGCCAATTATAAAATGTTTTGCTTTGTCTCCAGCAGGCAGGACAACATGGCCATGGTGAGAGAAGTAAGCACATAACTGGTGGCGTACAACATTACACAACATTGTGAGAATAATACACGGATTCCAGGCTAGGATCATGAAATTCCACGTTTCTCGATGCCACGATCGGCCTTTTAGTGTTCCAAGGTTGATTGTGTTGCTCGTCATCAACAGGTAAGTTTACGGCAATATGGTCTATATCGACATCTTCCTCTTCGACATTTCTCTGAAGAAAACGCGGATTTTCTTCACGAAAGACGAAATCTGCCATCTAAAGAAGAAAGAAGATATTTTAGGATTTTTAAAGATTTTTAAAGATTTTATTTGATTTTTTTTTTTTTTTTTTTTTTCCTTTCAAATTTCATCCAGTTTTTTTAAGAGGTCAGAGGTGCAATTTTTAATATCAAATTACATGAAATTGGATATGCATAATTCATGACCTTTTAAGTTCGTTTTGTAATAAAAACCATTCCATTAGCGACTAGGGTTAGTTAAAAGCATATATTTATGAAAATTTATTACAAACTTACATTTAATGCGGTCCAAATAAGTGACTTTAGGCGAACTTTTTTAATACACTGTTGCTTTCGTTTTCTACAATAGGATAGGAGGCAGTTTAATGGGTTTAGGGGGTCAAATGGGGGATAATAGGTGATTTACCGCGAAAATTTTTAGGGTTAGGGTTACTCTAGTAGTAATGCTACTAACCATCGCCTAAATAATGAACTTAATAGCAATAAACCTATACTAACGTTTAACAACTTTTAATACCAGCTGTATGATATCTATCCATAAAGCAGACATTGTTGTCCACATACTATAAAGAATTAATTGTCCTAATTGGCACTTGAAAGAGATTAAAACTGACGTCAATAGACAATTTTTCATACCATTCCTTGACTGTGGCATTTCCTACGATGACACTTATATGAAACCACTGGAATAGACTCGACATCATTGCATGGTTGATCAACCTTTCTAATTACCTACAGTTGGACTGTTAAAACAGAGCCTGATGTTTTTGGACATGCATGTACCTAATATGTTTGGATGGCTAACAGCAATAGTTTTAATAATTCCTTTACCTAACACTAATCCTCTATGCATGTCAACATGCATGTTACACCTTAGGCGTCATATGCATCCCATGTAGAATTATTCAGCTATGATCAGCGTATAACGTACCAACTTATTCCCAGTCCCTATTTATTTTCATATGACCATTGGTTCCTTGTCCAAGTAACACGAACATGCTTGTCAGGTTTTATTAGTATGTTATGTAAATATTATGGTTACTCGAATCCTCCATGTGACAAATTAAGACCTACTACAGATAACGATTGTTCGATCATATCATATCATCAATATTATTATCCTTGTTTGGCTTTGTTATATATATACATATTCAGTTTTTTGGTCACTGTATACTCATAATTTTTATATGTACATATTCAGTTTTTGGTCAATGTATACTCATAATTTTATAAGATCAAACCCTGCACGGTGTAATTATTTATTTTATTTATTTATTTTTTATCCCTATTGATCACCTCTTATTGCCATACCTTCCTACCCCTATCTAATCAGCCGGCTTCACCATATTAGGATGCAATCACCTTCACTCACATGATCATACTATGATATAAATCCTACCCCACCCCTACCATCACTTCATTCATACTCACTGTACTATTGAGTAAGCTACAATTGAAAGGATCAATTCATTGCTCCACTTTAATTTTAAAAAACAAAAAGATGAGCACCAAGATGTGTGGTGTTGGTATGTCTCGCAATAACAAGACATTTGGTAGGATAATGTGACTTATAATATGCAGTAGTTTTATCATTTCTCACTATCCTTCAACCTTTCATTTTTGTTACTGTGCCATTACTTATCCGAACTCCTAAATTCTCCTTCATTCTCTTCTGCAAAATTCACCGAACTCCTAAACTCTCCTTCATTCTCCTCTGCAAATTCTACCTATACACCCACTTTAAAAAACCTGCTGAAGAAGACTGTTAGGTCGAAACGTGTACAGGGTTGCCTCTCCCTTATCTCTCTACTTATCGTTTCCAAATAACCAATTCACCCCTCCTTCAGGTTCTATAATCGTTATTGCCGTAATTTATCACGTACTGCAGTTCATACTATTGAAGTTGAAGTAAATAACAATAAATTTGCATACTGGTCCTATAATGATTTAGGTTACACAATGACTCACACCAGTACTTGTCCCATTACCTATTTACACCAAAACAAATGTAAATGAATATAAACTCTACGTCTCAATTAAAAAAGTTAGAAAGATGCAAAATTTGGGCAGTGTTTATATCTGCGGGCGCCCCTTTGTATGAGCAGAACTGATGCGCCGAACAGACTTTAAGGTTTTGGTAAGTCAACCTTAATTGAATTACCTGTATATGTGATTATATTATTAATATACCTAAATTAAAATATTTTTTAGCTGAGGCTATAATATGTAGGCTACATTGAGCCTCAGCTAACATATTTTAAGTTATCGTAAGTGTCATCTGATATATGATATCATGATAATCTTTAATCCGTAACAAAACCACAAGGATACGTGTACAATACAACCTGTGTCTGTGATACAATCAACACTAAGACAAGATACAGCATTTCATTTGGAATATTTAAATTTGGGCATTATTATTTGGTTAATGGAGGAAAAGTGTGAACAAAAAATATGGACAATTTTATATTTGAACTATGTAGCTCATAAATGTGTTCTTCATTCTGCTGACAACAAAGTCAAAGACGAAGAGGTCAAGAATACAATGAAAAGGAAAAGACGAGAAGGCAAGAGAAAAAAAACACAAGAGAAGTAAACACAAGAAACGAAAACACATTAAAACTGATTGCGATGCTGACAGTGGTGAAGACACCAAAATCCTCGTGTCAGATCATGAAGACAAGAAAACCGAGACTAGAAATGACAAAGAGTCCGAGTATCCATCTTTAAAACGGCAGAAATGTATGTACAGTGAAAAACTATTAGCCTTTATGTCTAGAACAACCTAACATATATATATATATTTATAAATAAACAATACCTTCCATAGTTTGATGACTGTGGCTGCAGTATCCTGATGGATAATTTCTTCAGGGTTTGACTGGAGTTTATCTGGGAGAGTATTTAGCAACTTCTTCTCTGCGCCCATCAATGATGTCCAATTCAGCTTTCCGATTCCTTTACCATCATTCCGTTTCTCCCACACACTAAAGGTTACACCACTGCTATTTATGAGCTGTGTGCTTTTCTGTAGGTTGACCCCTTTGGGCTCCCCCTTCTTGTTCAAGAAGTCTTTCTTATCATCTTCTAACTCCATAGCATCCTTTACTATATCTGTAACTCGAAGAGGATGCAGCTCATCAAGAACAATATTGGAAAGTGGAACATTCAGCAAGGGCATATCTTCAGAACAAAATTGATACAGCTAACCTTGTGCATGCATGAAAAATCACATTTTTAAATGTGATTTTCCATAAAAATGCAATGAGAAAGAAGAAGTGAGCAGTTCTCACATTCACAATGATTTATAATACCTTTGCTCCTTATGAATTGTGCACCACAAACAAGCATAATTTGCATTTGCTGTGGCACATCCACTAACTAGAAGGAGGAACTAGAAAACTAACACATCAAATATAAAATAAATCTATAGCTGCCACAAAACCGTTGTTGTGAACACTAAAGAGCATTATAATAGAAATAATTAATATAATTAGTGTATTTTACCTTATAGTCACCACCAAGAAATATTTCAACTGGTACCAGTATGTCCTGGGTTGATTTCACCTTCATGAATGACTTTGTTGATCTCATCCCAGCAGTCTTTAAAGCCAACCTTCAGAGACTTGTAACATTCTGAGCCACTCATTACTGCTATAGTGTTTGTTCCTGGTTGAAGGAAAGTGCTTTATGTTAAAGCAAATAAGTTGGGTAATTTTTCAAGAGTAGATTCTTTTTCATATAAACTATACCAGTTGCAACAAGCTACCCATATACCCTCATTAGAGGTTTTTATAGCAAGAACAACACTACAACACAGATTGATTAGTTATATGATTATATACCTTTGGCAGCTAAAACATCTTTTGATTCATCCAGCACACAATAACTCAGAATAACATAATTTGTTAATCTGGTCATTCTTGCTCCATCACCACTTATTTTCACTTTGACCTTCTTCTCACCGGCAGTAAGTTTACCATCTTGAGCCTGAATTTTATGACATGAAATAAAATCTGACTAGTCAGATCAAGGAGTATCAAAAGAAGTCACAGTAGAACAGGGAGAGAAAACTTGTTGAGGTTGAAATGAAAATATATATGTGCATCAGTGCATCTACACTCACCATAAGTTGCAATTTGTTAACAAGGGAATCCTTAAATGACAATTGTGCACCAGGTTCAGATAGATAGAGATAGATAGATAGATAGTTTAATAGATTTTACATGGCAGCCGGAATTGGCTGAATTGCATAAAATTAACAAAACTTACATATTACAAGCAAATTAAATACAACACATACAGAATTACATATTATTGAATGTAATAGTATTACATATTATATGACATCAGTGCAAATTCAGATATGTCCCCCACCACCACCACCGCTAAAATAGAGATCAGGCAAAGTAAGCACAGCTACAGAGACCCAAAAACATGCATAAAAGCAAACGGTTGACGCGAGGCAGCGGCAATGGTGGTGGAAGTCATGTCAGAACCCCACCAATATCCTTTTAAACTACTCCTTTGACATAGAAACGACAAAAGTGTTCCTAAAACGATTTGTTCATGTGGTGGGACAGTCAAAATGTCGCTGTCTTCTCAGATTATATGCCGAGATATTCTTGGGTGGCAGAAGATGGTGAAGTTTGTTCAGGTTCTGGTCCTGGGGTTGGTTTTACAGCGCAAATACTGCCCCTACATTGTTTGATCAGGTACGACCTGGGCATCCCATCAACAATCATAGACAATTCATGGATGAAGGCATCTCCCACAACAAACTTGTCCATCAAATAGCTTCCACCTTGCACTTACTATCACTTGACAATTTGTCATACTGATTCTTTTCTTCCGGAGGTGTTGCCGTTGGTGATGAAGATGTGGAATGACTATTGTTAGGGGTTAACTATGGTGACCTGTTGGCTGTTGATGGTGTTCCTAGGGAAACTGGTGATGTGGCTTCTGAACTGGATGATGAACTACTCCAACCATATTTCTGCCCTTTGTTGTCTAAAAACTCCAGTCTGTCAAGTTCAAGTCCGAAGCGTTTTGCAAACCATAACACTTTTTGGGCCCTTGTCCCAAGTGCTTGCAATCGCCTGTTTTGCTGCCGTTTTGACAGGTCACCGATATTCTTCATGCCTGATGTGATGTCCCCCTCATTCCCTTTTCGAGCTTCCTTACATACTTTTCATTTCTTCATTTTCAGACACCAGGTTTGAAATTTGGGTTTCTTTCTCACTGTTCATTTCAAAGAACAAACGTTCTTTCTCTTTCTCCAGGATCTGGTACTGCTTCTTCCATTCTTCCAACTCTTCATTCAAATTTTGCAAGCGTTACCTTAGACATTTCATTCAGATACACATCGTGTCTCCTTCGAACCTTTAGAATTTAGCCTCTTGGCCTTATTATTAACATTGCAACATTGGTGCTTTAACCGGACTTCGACTCGCAGGGACGTGCTCTTGATTTTGACGGATCCATCGGGAATGATTTCATTGAGAAAGTCTATGTATTCTTCTGTTTGGACTTTGCGTTATACCATTGTAACAAAACGCTATTGCGAATAGCTATACAGTACATAACCTGATCGCCTGATATGGCTTGTTTGGCAACATAGGACAACATATTCGATGGCAGATTTACATTTATGAGCAGTTTCACATTAGCCAAAGAAACGGTTGCATCAGACATTTAAAAGCTTGTTTCATTTCGTCTATATGCTTCAGAAAAATTACTCTAACTGCTATAGACGCTTAAAAATACTGTGTTTGTTGTTATGGATATTGTGCGCAATTAATTAAAATTTTGCGGGTTTCAATACTTATTATATTCCAGCCATACGTGGAAATGTTTATGAATATATAAAGTTTATTGCCTGGAGACTAAGGCACAGACTAAGGCTTGGTCACAGAGCTTGTCATTGCAGTGAAAACAAGCAAAATGGAGGCATATTCTAAGAAGAACGACCGACTTTTGGTTTGTTTATGTTCGCCAATTTGGGTGAGTTTTTGTGATGAATTTTACGGCTGGAATATATCGAAATTGCACTAAAGTTACTTTAAAATACCGAACTATGTATAAATAATAATAATAATAATAATAAACGTCTTTATTTTACTACTCAAATCAAACGTCGGAGTTTACATATTAAGAATAAAAAATTAGATTCTTACTGTTATTTACATCAATTTTTAGTACTTTAAAAGTATAAGAATATAGATATATAGTTTATATAAAATTGAAAAGACATCTATTTATAAATGCATTTTTGAACCTCTCAGTTTTAACAATTGGTAGTTCAAAGTCATGAGCCATTTCATAGGTTTTCTCCATGTTTAAAGACATTCTATTCTCGTTTGACCATAGCTTCATGTTTTCTACTTCATCCCCAGCTGAGTCTTCGTAATCATAAACTGGTGCTATTATTGCAATATCATCAGCATCAACATATCATAAAGCGCAGAGATTTCAGATGAATTACCCATTGAAACACAATGTACTGGCAAGCCAAGGGAGATGCGACATTTTGTATTCGCCAATCAAAATGGTTAGAAAATAGAATTTATTGGGGCCAATTCGAGGTATTTTTTACATATTGCGCTATATATTTTATTTCACCCTTGGTTCCTAGCTAAATATTGTGATACCGAATGAAATTTCTATATCGTTATATTACAAATTTGCTTTCGATGTAAGTTGTCACCAAGATCTAACTATATTAGATCGACATGTTAAGCTTTCTTTAAGGATTTAAGTTATAGACGATTTTATTGCTAACCCCTATACAAATCTATAATAATACATTCGCCATTTTGTTTACAACAATTTTTAAAGTCCACACACTTAATGCGCATGTGTGTCCACATTTTCTCGCCATTTTCTGTGAAATCCGACGATCCGAAAACCTATTCACCCCCCCCCCCTTGAGTTCTAAAGCTTTTAAATTGCTTTTTTATTGTTTTTTAATATCCCCATAAAACTTTAAATCGATAAAGCAGATAATGTTGATGCAAACTCATTTTCTAGTAATTACACATTGAATCAGAAGGAAACATTATCAAAATAGGTCACAACTGTTGTTTGTAAAATTCTGCTTCTCTCTCAAATGACTTCCTTTGCAGGAAGCCATGAAATTGAAGTCCTAACAAAAACATAATTTAGCAGTTCTTTTGGGCCCATTGCTCACTTATTTATCATGAAATCGCTTCACCAAAACTTTTTAAAAAAATGTCTATGGGAAACTGCACAAAAAGTTCATGGTTTTGAGATGTTTATTTTATAAAATAGCACACACAACAAAATGGCACTAATGTGGTTTCCAACGCCTGACAAACAACCAAAGATGAAAGTCCTTATTTCACCCTTTTATAGCAAAGTGGAATACCTGAACATTAGGCTATTTCATTTGAGCATACAGATAACAGTTATACAGAATTAGTCCTTATGAAGGCTTATGTCAAACTCAATATTAAAGCGATTGTTTTTTAGAGCCAGACTTCAAAAGAAACCGTCTGTCTGACATTTTAATTCTAAAAAACAACAGAATCATGAGAAAATTGAGCTAAAAGTACCTTATGTATGTTTAAAAGTGAATAGCTTTTAGTTTTGTCACCACAATTTCCCTTTGAAAATGTCAGCTGTCATTGTCTGTGTTAAAAACACCTCAGAAAATTCCTATTTTCTCACCTTCCCATCCTTGGTTTATATTAAAATAAATAAATTCTAGTTCTATCGTGTGTTTTCACAGAGTGCTGCTGTGACGTCACTAGATTTTAGCATCCACCATGTTGGTGGAGTGAAACACGTCAAGTGCGAGGAATTTACTAGTGTTTACTTATAGCTGTGCCAAATCTGTTCGAAATATTCCTCAATATGCCAGCTTTTTGTCTAGTTTTAAACTGTTCAAATGACAAATCTAAATGTAAAAGATCTTTCTTTCTGCCGTGTGCTGAAAATTATTAAAAATCAAGGCGAGGGAATGGAGATTTTGTCAACTGAACACAGGCGAAGGTGGCTGTCAGCCCATAAGTCGACAAGATATATTAACAGACAAAAAAATGTAAAACGATCGTGTATGTGGTGAACATTTCCATTCTGGAAAGGCAGCCTTTGTGGGGTAAGTTTAATGTTGACTGGGTACCTTCTCTTAAGGTTACAGAACACCTTTGAGTGTTAATTTTGCCTAACATTTTTTTATTGGTCTCCATGAAAGCATTAGACTAGGCCCACTATCTGACAAAGTTTGAACGAAAAATGTTGAAAACTCGCAGAGTTATTTAATAAAATTCATTTTGCTGCAATAAGAAAAACATTGAAAATGTAATATTCAGTAATAATAATAATGTAATGTGCAGTTCGCTGCTGCTCGCTTTTTTTTTAATAGGTAAAGTTAGATTCACTGATGTCATGTCTCTCGGTTGGCTTCCAATTTTGGAACGTAGGAATTGTCATCTTGCCAAATTAGCATACAAAGCAATGAATTGTGATGAATGGCCTTCATACTTAAAATTAGAGGAATATATTCCTATAAAGAACATTACAATCATCATCTGCCCGGTGTCTAGCAGTCCCTATTAGAGAGTTTTAGATTGACGTATTTCCGTATTTCCCGCTAACTGCAAACGGCTAAAAATCACATGACAGCCATCTTGCCGTCAGGTTACACGTTCGAAGTAGACGTTTCTACGCGAGATAGGCTGTTTTCAGGTAGGTAGTTTCCCTCAAGGTTTTCATGCATTTTTTTGTTCTTTCTCTCGCGTATAAACATGGCACTTATGTTTATTATCACTATGACTTTCTTTCTTGCATAAAATAAGGATATGAAACTATTGTCTTCCACTGAAATATTGTGTCGAATTCAGTCGATGTCAATAAAAAAAATGGCGGGCAAAAGCATAGCCCATTGTTTTTGTTGTTATTTGTTTTTCTCATAATTTTGAGATTGAAAGTTTTACTCTTAGGCTAATTTTGTTGCAAATTTTATATAAAATCTGTTTGTGTTTAATACAGAACTTGGAAAGATCTCATAACCACGAAACCCTTTTGTTAGCCAAGCACACAACATGATCTTGCATTAGCTAGTGCGGTTGCAAGCTGCCTACCACAAAAGCCAATGGATTGGGATGCTATTCATGCCCACCGATTAAGTTCACGTTTTGGAAGTTAAAACCTTAGGGCTAAATCTAAATCGTCTTCAAAATCCGAACTGCAAACTTGTAACGGGTACGCCGACTACCGGTTTGCCGTAATAATGACGAACGTCAATCTAAAACTCTCTATTATCTCTGGAACCTTCCAAGATGAAGCAGCTCGAGTGTTCAATTCTCTACCTGAAGAAATTCGAAACTGCAATACATTTAAAGATTATTGCAGAAACTCCTCCGAGTACTTCAAAACATTAGTCAAAAACAGAATTAGGGACATGTCGTAAACTCTGTTGACATTGTGTGTATAACTAATGTCAATTGTTAAATACTGTAATTTACAACATACTACGTATTGTAATACCTTGTGTCATATTATGTACTCTGTTGTATGTATTGTATACTTTGTTATCTTATAATCAAACTCACTTGTAGCATAGAAGAGCCACTATGTGGAAATGCTATTAAATCATTATTATTATATTCAAATTCAATTTTTTCCCGAAACATTCTACGGCAATTACTGATTTTCAAATGAGTTGTGCGGGTTTTAACAAATTTTTCTCAAATTTTCACAGGACATAGCTAAAGATGTCAGTTTCAAAATTGAATAATATAAAGGAGCAATTCACTGAAACGATTCAGAAATATATTGCAGTCGTCAAAGAAATCACCATGTCAGGGGAATGACAAAATAAACAAAAATTTCCGAACACAATTTTTTAGAACAACCATTTTACTGTATAAAAATGATATTTTCATAAATATATCTTAAAACCAGCAGGCACACAACTCAAAAGCATAAAGGTACCGCAATTTAAGATTTTCCTGAATAATTCTTACATTATTTTATTGTTTGTCAATTTTGCAACTTTACCATATTTTGCATGCACTGACTAACATTTGGTGAAAATCGGACTGACTTTGAGCGCGCAGTAGCGATTTTCCGCAAAACGCCAAAAAGGGTGTCCTGTAACCTTAACATGGGACACCAAAAATCAAACATAAATGAAGCGTCGCTGCAACAAAGTCAGGATAAGCTAAGAGAGTTGCTGAACGAAGGAAGCGTATGCATGAGAATGCAGAAGAAATGGTCAAAGAGAAATTAAAAAGAAAATGAACCTGGCATGGTTGTCAAATTTTTATTTGACCCTATGACTATGGATGCTGAATTGGACGATATCCAAGACATCACAGAAAATTTGCCAGAAAACTTGAGAAACGCCACAACACAAACAAAAGTTTCAAGCACAACAGTTGGCATTCAGACAAGTGAGTCTCATAATTCTATGCTTCAAACTGAGTCTTACTTTCAGAGTAAAACCATGTTCTGCTGACTTTGATGAAGCTTTTTTCGCTGGGAACGCCGAAAAAGTAAAATTTTACACTGGTTTACCTTCCTTCGAAATTTTACAGAAAGTCTTCTCTTTTGTCGAACCTCAAGTTGACAGATGTCCTAAGCTATTATCCAAGTTTTAAGAATTTGCCATGGTTTTAGAAAAATTGAGACTTGCTGTACCTCAATTTGACCTGGCATATCGTTTAAAAATTTCATCATCAATAATGGTTTCTCGAATTTTGTTTACATGGCTGGATCCTCTTGCGTCCTCTTGTTAAATGGCCAGATCGTGATGAATCGCATGCAACCATGCCTAGATGTTTCTTATACTCATTTGGACATAAAACTACAGTAATCACTGATTGCTTTGAAATTTTTATTGATAGACCAACTAATCTTCTTGCAAGAGCACAGACTTTTTAAAGTTACAAGCATCATAACACTGTTAAAGTGTTAATTGGAATTACACCACAAGGTACAATTTGCTTTGTCAGTGAGGCTTGGGGAAGGAGGACTTCAGATAAGTTTCTGACAGCGAACTATGGCTTTCTGGGCAACCTTATACCAGCTGATTTGGTCCTGGCAGATAGGGGTTTCACTGTCCATGAAAGTGTTCAGTTTCGCCAAGCCAAATTGAACATTCCGGCATTCACGAAAGGAAAAGACCACTTGATCCTGCTGATGTGGAACAGACAAGAAAGATTCTTCTGTTCGGATACATGTTGAAAGAATTATTGGTCTACAGACACAGAAATATACCATTCTTCAACAAATTACCTTATTTGCAGAAAAGGAGAATCTGTTCCTCTCATTGACAGTAAACCTTTGCCCTCCTACTGTACCTTTTGATTGAAGTAAAGTATTTTACAACATTATGTTTTCACCAAGAAATAGATTAGAAAAACAATCTTTTAACATTT